GTTGGGTGGAGGGTGACATAAGACCCCGGAGGGCCAGCCGCCCCTGGAGTGTGGGTCCCGCTGGGAGACGGGCCGTGGGGAGCCCGCACCCTGGGACAGGGGAGCAGCTGAGCCAGGCATGCCCCCTTCGCTCTGATGCACCCCTCTGCTTCAGAGTGATAATTTATGGAATGAGTTATGTTCCTAAAACCCTTTTTGTTCTTAAAACTGAACTTCTGACAAATACTAGAGTCGGGGCGGGACAGGCAGGAAGGATATGCAGCAGCAGGCTCTGATGACCCCGACCCAGTGGGTGGGGCTTTGTGCCAGCGGAGCCTGGGCTCTGCTCTTCCCGGCCCTCGACAGAGGACCTGGCTGGGCAGGCCGCTCTCGGGGTTGCCACTCCCCACAAGGGGTCCCAGCCGTGGGGGACAGCAGAGCTGTCTCTGTCTGTCCTGCCTGGGACCAGCGGGTTGTCGCAGGTTGGCGGCTGGGGTGAGCTGCCTGCAGCGGGCCTCGGCAACGCTTGGCATCCTGACACTTGAGCTCTGCCAGTGGGAGGGGTGAACAGCACCCAGGGCAGGGCGGATCATTTCCTTGTCGCTGCTGGTGCTGAGCATCTTTCCAGGTGCCTGTTGGCAGCTTAGACTTTCCCTTCTAGTGAAGTTCACGGCTTTGGCCCATGTTTCTCCTAAACCGTATTTTTCCTGTTTATTCTTAGAGGGGGAAATTGGATGGATGGGTAGATGGATGAAAGGCAAGGTGGGCAGATGGGTGGGTGGACGGACTGATGGACGGTTAGGCGTCTCCTCTTTCTCTGACCTCTGGAGGAGTGAGCACAGGATCAGAGTAATCTCTTCCTTGACTGCCAGAGTTCTGGGCCGCGGAGATTCGCCCACTGCGGCCAGTTTTCCTCGTCGCACCCATGCCGTGGCCCCTCTCCCTGCCGGTGCGCGTTTGTGTCTCGGTGGCTCCCTTACCCAGTCGTGTCGGAACTTGTCCAGTTAAGCTGTTTCAGAGAATCAACTTTCAGCTATAGTAGCCTTCCTTTTCCAGAATTTGTTTCTGCCCCTTTTCTGTCTATTTACCTCTTTCCCCAGGACTGTTCTCTTGCTCCTTCCTAAACTGTGCACCTACTTGTCCTGACATCTGCATTGAAGGCTCAGTATTGGCTGCACCTCACACGCTGATACGTGTCATTTTCACTGCTTTTCATTTCTAAGCATTTCCTGCTTTCCGGTCACCCGTGATCACTGTGTTGTTTAATTTCCAACCTCAAGACCACATGGTTCTCATTTGTGCCCGGCTTCTAACAGATGGCGCTGTGCTAAGAACAGGTGCGGTGGCATCGTGGGGGGAATGCGGTCTGCCTGCGTGGACGTCCACGCACGTTTGAGGGAGCGCGCCTCCCCCGCCACATTCACACACCTCTGTCCGTCGCCCAGGCTTGCCCGTGGTGCCCTTCACATTTGGTTTTCTCTGCCGACCCCTGTCTGCTCCTTCTGAGGAGGACGTGCCACCCTCCCCTCGTGTGGCACGTCTGGTCACCTCCGTTGGCTCTGGCGATGTTCATTTCCTGCGTGTTAAGCACATTTACCAAATGTGCATAGACTTTAAAGCATCACATCCTTTTGATGAATTGACATCTTTGTCACCGTGTAGAACCGTCCTTTATGTCCAGCCACGGTTTTCCGTTTACGTGTGTCGTGCGGGGAACCCGCAGTGTCCTGCTGCCTCCTCTCCAGTCGCTTCCTCCATAAACAGCGCGAGGCTGGATTCCATGATGGGTTTTCTCGATAGTGCACAGGCTGCCTGTTAAGTGGACGCGGGTCCTTACGGTGGGTTTGGTTGCACCTTGTTTTCTGTGGCTTTGCTTTTTCCAGACTCATTTCTGCGTCTCTCCGTGCTGCGTTCTTCCTCCTCTTCTGCCCTGTCCCCACGTGACTGAGGGTCCCCCACATTGCACCCATCCCCTCCACTGGGTGGAAGATAACAGCTGGTTGCTGGTTGCCAGTGGTGACCCTTACGGATGTCAACACATCCCCGTGACACGGTCAGTGGCCTCTTCCCTCCCCACGCCACCCGGACCCACGTGGGGCCGCAGACCAAACACAGCACACCCCTTTGGACATGGCTTTCCCGAAAAGTCACTTGCTTGCCCGAGACGGACCTGTGCCGGCCGCTGTCCTGTGTCTGCTGGCTCCGTTGGGCAGCCCCCGCCCCGGCCCCTCCCGGGGTGTACGTGCAGTCCCTGACTAGCCTCTCCCCTCGTCCTTCCTCCTGCTGCCCTTCCCCCCTTCCCTTCTTCCTTTGTGGTCACTGACTTGACACCATCACTGTTATTTTACGTAGTCCCTGCGTCCGTGGCCTTTCCTGCATTCAAGTTCATCATGTCTCCCTGCTTCTCTGACCACCACCTGGGACCACTGCGCCTCCAGCACACCCCGTACGTTTCCTGGCAGAGGGACACCGGTGTCAATGTCCCCTGGTTGTTTGCCTTTATTCAGGTTGTGATTTTACCCTTGTTCTTTTTTTTTTTTTCTTTCTTTTAAGCAGGCTCCACACCCAGCACGGAGCCCAACGTGGGGCTTAAACTCACAACCCTGAGATCATGACCTGAGTTGAGATCGAGGGCCAGACGCCTAACAGACTGAGCCCCCCAGGCGCCCCTGCCCTCGTTCTCGACTGACGGGGCCACAGTTGTGGCCAGCAGTCGTATTCTCTCTGGACGCTCTGAAGCGACCGCACGGCGTCTTGCTCTCCGCCACGTAGGAGCTGGTGGCTGGCGGGCTGTGTCCCCCTGCAGACTCCATCTTCTCCAGCTCTCTGCTCGTCTCCGGTGCTCTGCGGCTTCACTCTGGTGCGCCTGGGTGTGGGCGTCTCGTGTGACTCTTCCTGCTCGGGTCTCGTCCCCCTCCCTCTGGGACACAGACCCTCCCCCTCTGCCCGCTCCCTGTGTCCTCGGTGCATTCAGAGTCATTTCTTCGGCTGTTGCTTCCAGGTTACCAGTGTTCTCCTTAGCTGATAGGAGTTTCCAGTTCCTGCTGTTGCATTTTCATTTTTAGAAGTTCTATTTGGCTCTCTTTCAAATCTTCCAGTTCAGTTCAGTAATCCTACATTAGTCTCTTATTTTTAATACACACTACACATACTTTATAGTTTAAAACTGATCATTTCAATAATCACAGTCTTTGAGGATCCAAATCTGTGTTTTTTACTAGACTTTTAATTCTGGGTAGCTTTGGACCTAGAGGAAAGTTGCAGAGCTGGCCCCCAAGCTCCCGTAGGCCCTCGGACAGTTTCCTCTTGGTGCCATCTGACCTCGGTGGGGCCTTTGTCCCAGCCTGGGAGCCAGCCCTGACCCGGCACTGCTGGTCCAGCCCATGCCCAGATTTCGCTCGCCTTCCCACGACTGCCCTCACCATGTCAGGGTCCCCGTCCTGGACCCCACTGTGCATCCAGCTGTTCCGTGTCCTTACTCTCCTCTGGGCTGTGGCAGCCTCTGAGCCTTCCCTTGGTTGTCATTTTTGAAATATTGATAATTTTCAGCAAAGAACGCCAGTCAGGTACTTTGTAGACTCTACCTCAGCGTATGTCTTGTTTTTCGAGATACTCCACTCCACCTCTTGGAGAGGGCATGTGTACACAAATTATGTGGAAGAATTCTTGAGGAACATGTATCTCCTCCTTGTTACTTATGCAGTCACTGATTTTCATCAGCGCCAACCCCTGGACGCTCCACGCTCTGAGTTATGGTCCAGAACCGTGCTGTGGTCTCTTTCCCGCCTGGCCTCATGTGCATCCCTTTAGCCTGCCCGTCATCTTCCTGAGCGCTCCCTCCGTCTCTGGTACTGCAGGACGCGCCAGGCTCTTCTAAAATCTGCCCGCCCCAGCCTCGGAAAAGACCAGGAGCCTGGCTCCTTTTACTGGAGGCTGGTGTTGGAGACCTTGCTGGTTTCTCTGGAGCCCAGACCACGCTGGCTGACTTCTGTGTTTTATGATGGTTTTGGCTGGGGACTCAAGCATTTTGGAACTGAACTGAAAGCACGAGGCAGCAGCCTCACAAGGGGGCCCACGGCTGCTCTGCCAGGCACCCAGCCCCTCCGCTTATGGCGTGTGAACCAGGCAGATTCTCAGGGAGACTGCGGCCGACGCTTCCCTTCTCTGCAGAGCCCAGGCTAAGAACAAACCTCTCCCCACCAGGTGTCTGCGGGTGTGTCGTCTGCATGAGCCTGGCTCATCCCTGGGAGGGTTGTGGTCATTCCCACACAGGCCTGCATGGCCCCCAGCCTGTCCCAGGATATGTGACCACCCCGGGCAGTTCCAGCTTCCTTCTGGAACCCAGTAGATCTCCCCCAGTGTTGTAGGCTTGTCTAATTATTTAAAGTTTTTTAAAATTATTTTTGTGTTTTCATGATGTATTTCCCCAAGCGTGCTTAGTTGTCATGTTGCAGACTTCCCGGCGTGCCCTGTGGGTCTCTGACTGGCTTAGGCTTCCTTATGAGCCTTTGTGGTCTGCACCGAAGAGGACCCTGGGAGCACAGGGTCCCCCTCGGAGAGACTCCGCGACTCCGCTCGCTGTCTTCTTTCTTTTACCTTTTCCCCATTTTGTGAAGAAGATCATCAGTAGATGTTCAGGCATTCTTATCTGTAAGGACTACAGACGTGAAAGTGGTATTTCCAGAAGTTCTCATTATTTCCCTCATGTTGTGTGGTGGTGTAGATGGTGTCTCAGTGGGTCCCAAGCAGACGTCCTTCTGCACCAGCCCGCTCCTGGATGCGGTGTCCACTCACACAGGAGCTCACGAATACACCTGACGGTCCCCTGAGAAAATATCTCAAAGAAAATAAATCTACTTTTGTTTTAAAAAAAAAATCGTACGGTAAATAGCAAAGCCATGTTTGGCTTTTTCTTCTTCTCTGTCCACAAATACACTCAAGAAACCGACTTTGTCCCCTTGTAGTGCACATGGGGATTGACATCGTGTACATTCACTGTGTATTTTTATATTATTTTCTAGCTTGATCCTCTCCCAGAGAAGGTCTTACAGCAGAGACCCAACGCTAATGCGGTCCGGTCCATGGAGAAAGTCATTGAAATCCACAGTGAGTTGCCTGGGCCGCCCGGGGGCATGGGGTGACCCAAGTCACGGAGACTGTCCCGTAGGTGGGTCTGCGCCGTGGTCCCCAGTGCAGACGCTGGGTTCGCACCAGCCTCCCCGCTGAGAAGCCCTGTGTGTGAGCAGACACCGAGTGACTAGCTCCGGCCTGGCCCCTCTGCTCGTTCCCCTCATGCTGAGGGGCCCCCTCATCTCTGAGGGTCCCGGTGGAGGCCCCCCAGACCTCCACCCCATCCCAGGCGCCCCTGCCTCGGGGAGGACCGACTCCACTGGCCGCCTCTCCCAGGGGCCCAGTCTTTGTGAGTTGTGAGCCAGGTGCTCCCTGGCTTCTGGCTCCTGGAAGACGTGCCTTTAACGGCTCTAGTGGAGTCGGGTTCGAGCGGCGGCAGGCCCAGTAACCACGCTTCTCCGCCCAGGCCAGTACTGGCGCTCCCTGCCACGCCTCTGCTCCACGGTGGGGCACTCACTGGTAGAGGCCCAGAAGTGTGAGAACGAGGAAGCCGAGACCGTCACCGCCATGGCCTCGCTGTCCGTGGGCGTGAAGCCCGCCGAGAAGAGGTGAGCGTCTCTGCCCCGCCGGCGGGCCCTGCTGCCCACGGGGCCGCCCTCTGCCGACAGCCCGGGCCTCAGCTGTCGTGGCCGGGACGTGGCTTCTCCACGCGGCCCTGCCTCGTGCGCGGCCAGCTGGGCGGGGGATGGAGGGACGGAGGGCAGGGGTCCCGCCACGGCCACCTCTTTCCTGCGTGAAAGGCCCGTGGGGACCGTTGAGGAGCCTTCGCTCCAAGCGGGCCCCGTCCCGGCCGCCGTCCGGGGGCAGGGGCGGGTGGCAGGGGGCGCGGCAGGCGGGCGGCCGGCGGGTGGCACTGCCCTCACCCCGCGGGCTCTGTGTCTCTGTTGTGCCCGGCGTCGCCGCAGACCCGACGAGGAGCCCATGGAGGAGGAGCCGCCGCTGTAGCCTCCCGCGCAGCTGCGGGCCTCTTGTTTGTTTGTCCCGTCTCGAAGCTCCGCCGACAAAGCTCCTGTTTGTGTGCGGCCTGCCCGCGTCCTCTGACCGCGGCTGGAGCGGCAGGGGGAGGCCTCCGCCCGCCCGGCCCGGCTCCCCGGCGGGCGGCCCTGCGCGGACCGGGACCCACTGGGAGCCGGGCTGTCGGCTCCCTCGACAGAGGCCGCGGAGGAAGGAAGCCTGTGGCGGCTCGCGGCAGAGCTGCCCGCTCCGTGGCCACGAGGGAAGGAAGACGCAAATCAAAGATCTAATAATACAAAACAGACTCGATGAAAACTGGTGCTTACAGTTGATTATTACCCACAATTCCACAGTCTCCGTGTAAACCACTCAACGCATCCTGTAGCTTCTTTTGTTCAAGAGAACATTCTCTCGGGCTCTGGCCCGTCCCGGAGCCCAGCGGTGCGCCGTGGGGCATGCGGCGGGGCGTGCGGTGGAGTGGGGGGCCGGGGCGGCGCACGTGCGGGGGAAAGCTGGACGCACACCGAAACGCGAGCCTGCGGGAACTGGCTTTGGTTTCTCCAAGCCATCGGAAGATGCGAGTTTGTGCCTTTTTTTTATTGCTCTGATGGATTTTTGTGGCTGGGTTTTCTGACGTCTGAGGAACAATGCCTTAAGAAAAAAATAAACAGCAGGAATTGGTGGGACAGTTTCCTGTGGCTGCGTGCTGGCCCGGGGTGGGGGGCTCCGGGGGCCACCGGCCTGCAAGCCCGGGTTCACTTCAGTGCTGTTTAAGAGAAACGGAGGTAGTTCCAGCAAAGTGGCAAATACTGTTGGGGGTTTTGAAGTCCAACAAATTTTAAATGAATCCAAAGTGTTCTTTTCTCGTACATCCTTTAACAATTGAGCATCTCCATTTGGTTGTGAAGCATGTCCTAGGCACACTTCCAGTGTTATGATCGGAATGCTTTTTATTAAAAGCAAGTAGCATGAAGTATTGCTTAAATTTTAGGTATAAATAAATATATATATGTATAATATATATTCCAATGTATTCCAAGCTAAGAAACTTGATTCTTATGAAATCTTGATAAAATATTTATAATGCATTTATAGAAAGAGTATATATATATAATAAATGCAGATCGTAAAGGTCCCTGGCGAATGAACGACTTGTGAATTAGACATCAAGGTGCTTACGGAAAGGGATCTCGTTTGAAACTCACGTATTTTTGAACTCCAGATTGGATAGCTTTCAGATCGCCAACACGTTCGCCACTGGGCAGCTACCCGGCAGGTGTGTGCTTTCGTTCTGCTCTTTTCGGACAGGACCCCTCCCGCTCCAAGCCTCCGTGCACATATGTACCTAATGAGTTTTTATAGCAAAGAATATAAATTTGCTGTTGATTTTTGTATGAATTTTTCACGAAGAGATCCTGAATAAGCATTGTTTTGTGAATTTTACATTTTTTCTCACCATTTAGCAGTTTCCTGAATGGTAACAATGTCTAAACTTTCTTTCTTTCTAACTTCTTGCTTGTACATTTTTTTTAACTTTTAAAGGTTGTGTTTTTTTTATCATTTTCATCCTTGTTTATTTCTGTACAGTGAGCAGTGTTGTGTGGCAGCCGTTTTCGGGAAGTGAGCTTGTGCGAGTTGGGGGACACGCGGTCTCCACGGCGATGCCAGTAGGGCGTCTGTCCCGGCTCCATCCCCACGGCTGCGTCCAGACCGGGGGCTCCTCTTCCCCCCACATCGGCAGTATTACAAGGGGTGCTGTGTCCTCCCCTCCGCCGTGCTGTGGGCAAGGTCGCTCGCCAGACACCACGGGCCGTCAGCACTCACGAAACTCCTGTTTCAACTTCTCTGACCGCGTTGTCAGGACAGCATTTTTAAAATTCAGTTTTCCAAAGACCTTTTAAAGCATGTCAGCAATGCATGGGGCCCGAGTGAGGCCCACACCTGTTGGGGGTGTTCCCCGCTGCAGCCTCATGGCTGGGGTCCTGACCGGAAGCAGCAGGCCCCGAGTTTTGGAGCCTGTGGCTGCGGGGAGTCGAGGGGCCCCTGCTGCCTGGCGAGCCTGCAGGGACAGCACGGATTCCTGACCAGGGCAGCCAGTCCTCGCTCTTTCTCTCGTTGACAGTAACTGACCGTCACTTTTCACTGGTAACTTATTTTCCAGCACTTGAAGCCACCAATTTCATTCCAAAGCATGTACCGGGTTCAGGCACAGTGCTCCCATAGGAGGGAACCCCGAGCCACGTCCCTGAGTTTGGTCCCGTTCACAGGGTAGCTTCTGAAGGAGACACTGATGCAGCCGGACTTCCAGCCAGACGAATCCAAATTCTTGGATTGGCTTGGTTGTCGAGATGCTGGTGGTCCGGCCCAGGACGGCAGTCCCAGAGCAGGACAGAAAGGTCTCGGGGCCCATGTGGCTTTCTCCTCCCGCTGACCCCACTTTGCTCGGAAGCCCACCTCGGCGGGAGGCGCCGGTGTGTGGGAGCCACGTCGGCCATCGGGGCCATCAGGGCGTGAGCGCGGCGGCAGGGCCCGGCCCCTGCACGGCCTGTGGGACCCCCTGCCGCCTGCCGGCCGTGGCTCTTAGAGAGGAAGAGGTCATCTCACGCTTTTTACGGTTGACTGGGTGAGGGAGTTGTCCGCGGAGGGCTCACTCCCGGTCTCCTTCGGGGAGACACCCTCCGCCGAGAGGCCTGGCAGGGGAGCATGCTGCGTTGGTCAGCTCACTCCAGCGCCATAGATGTGCTTAAAGCATTACCGTGTAGCCTTTTCTTTTCTTTAAAGACACACTCAGCCCTTCCCCGCCACCCGCCGCCAGCGCGGGCGGCGGAGGGCCTGCCCCAGGGTCTGCGGGACCCCACGTCAGGGAGGGCGCCTCACCTCCCCTCTCTGGCCCCGGCACCTTTAGCCTTTTTCTTCCTTTGCAAAGGCCTCGGGGGCACTGGCCAGCCAGGGGTCAGCGAGCGAGCACTTTATGTCCCTTCGCGGGAAACCCCACGGCGCCGCCGGGACACGGGGCGCCCGCCCTTTCGGCTCCAGCCGCGCCACGACGTGCCCGAGCCCCACCAGCAGGCGGCCGCCAGCCCCTCGGCCCCGAAGGGCCACTTTGTCAGAGTGTTTCAGTTTTTCTCCACTTCTTTTAAAAGTCTGTTTCCAGAGGAAGGACCGCCGGGCGTTGCTCGGACACGAACGCGGCGCCGGCGGCAGCGTTTCTGGGTTTTACTTTCGATCAGAACATTCCTTCTTTACTGGTCACAGCCATGTGCTCATTCCATTCTTTTTGTAGACTTTTGGGCCCACGTGTTTTACGGGCATTGATACATATATAAATATATATATAAACATATATGAATATATTTTTTTAAGTTCCTACAGCTGGAGGTTGCATGGACTCTATGACCGGCATGTCTTTATATTGTACACAGATTTTGCACGCCAAACTCGGCAGCTTTGGGGAAGAAGAAAAAAAATGCCTTTTTTGGTTCCCCTCTCACGACATTTGCAGATACAAAAGATGGGAATTTTTCTGTAAAACCACACGAAACCTTGAAGGCGAGTCGGGGGTGGGGGGGAACGTTTGCGTCTTCTTGAACTTATTCTTAAGAAATTGTACTTTTTATTGTAAGAAAACTAAAAAGGACTACTTAACACATTTGTCATATTAAGAAAAGTTTATCTAGCACTTGTGACATACCAATAATAGAGTTTATTGTATTTATGTGGAAACAGTGTTGTAGGGAAACGACACAGAAGTCAAGGCGAACTGCCCGTCTCTCTTCAGTTGACTTGGAGGCATTCGTTTCGTTTGTCCCCTCTGCTCTTGCACAGGGCCCGGCGGGCCAGCGGCCGGCGACCCCGACAGAGGAGCGGTCCGGCCCATGGCCCGAAAGCGCCCCTTTCCGCACAGCTGTATTGACTCTCTCGTTGCTTCTAGATGACGCGTGGCTAAGAGTTCACTTGCAGCCGCGCAGCCGTGAGCCGGGGGGGAGCGCCGCGGCTCACAGTCCAACTTGGCGTCCAGAGGAGGTCGCGTCTCCCTTGTCACCAAAACGCGCTCCTTCCCCACACGGCTCGCGGCCAAGTCTGGCGGGATTGAACGTCTCCAAGTGGAAGAAGAAGAAAGCGGACAGTTTCTGTTTGTTTGGGTTCTCGGTGTGTGTGCCCCATAGTGGAGGCGCTATTTTCCAGTTTATGAGACGTATATATAATATATATAAGGGGGGCTGACCCTGTTCACCCAAGAGCTTCTTACAGATGGGTCGCGATGCCGCGGCCCCCGTGGCACCTGAGCGCGCTCCACGTGGGGTCCGCCGCAGTGGTGGCCACCTGTTTTCTTCTGTAATGTAATCCGTTCTCTCTGATCGTCTGGACCTTCCAACGGTTCTTTCTTTTGCTCAGTGGAGTTGGAGATTTTGTTCTTGGTTTTCTCATTCTTGTTTTGTTCTGTGTGGGCGGGTTTTCCCCGACGACGGTGTCCTCCTCTGACGGCCGACTCCATTCCACTTGCCCCGGAGTCCAGCGTTTTGTACCTCATCAGACAGCTTGTCGCTCTTGTGGTGTAAATAAAACAGCATCTCTGGTTCCTGCCGTGTGCTCGCGTCCTCGCTGCCTCTCACCAGGGCCCCCACCCCGGGCCCACCTGTCGTGGGCCAGGACTCACTTGAACCCACACATGTGGCCCCCCGGGCCCAGGCCCACAGTGCACCTGGCACCCTCTGCCCACACCGGCAGGTCCCATGGGCAGCTCCTCATTAAATGTCCTTGCGCCATCTTCTTCCCCAAAACACTCGCAGCCCCCCACCAAGGCGGCGAGTCTGCAAACCCCCCTCAGCTGCCCGGCCCCCAGCAGCACACTGCCACCCCCAAGTGACTGCCCCACGCCCCCAGCGAAGGCCACACCCCTCCTGGGCCCCCACGTTCAGTGACTGATCAGTTGGCATGGGGGGGCGGGGACCATTCTCTCCCCTCCCCGTGGGTCCCGGCCTGCTTCACAGCCGGGCTTCTCCCTCTGCCCGGCCGTCTCCTTCATAAACGTGGTGCACAGCAGCGTGGGGTCTCCAGCGGTCACCAGCCTGCTTGCTGTGGGCAGGAGCCCGGGTGTGGCTCAGCGGGACGCCTCTGGCTCAGGGTCCCTCCCCAGGCGCCAGTCACACTGTCGGCAGGGCTCGCGTGGGGGACCCCCTTCCAGCACACTCCCCCGGTGGTGGGCAGACCCGCTTCACTCGCCACATGGGCCACTCCTCAGGACCGCCTCGCCACCGGCCCCCAGAGCGGGGGAGGCAGGGAGAGCACACCCTGAAGACAGCCACAGCCTTTTATCACCAGCTCTCGGCGGTGAGATGCCATCACTCAGGAGCCAGTCAGGAGGCCAGTCCACACTCAGGGAGCGAGGGTGGCCACAGGCGTCCACACCACACCCGTGCCGGGCAGAACCAGCCGCCTGGCCTGGCCGGGCTTAATATGGTTTATTGCAAACCCCAGCAGCTTTGCCTTCAGAATATGCTGGTAATTCACTCACCTCTCTCAGGCCGCTCCCCCTGCTCCACCCTGAAGGCTCCCCACCGCCGGAGCCAGGCTGACCCTGCTGAGGCTGGACGCTGAGCAGGCGCCCCGGACGGGGTCGTTCTCCTGCCAGCTGGTCGGCCTCGCCCACTGGAACAAAAGCTTTGAACCTCTTAGGGTCACTCCTGTCTCCCCAGAGATTGAAACACACTAGGATCTCCACAAACAGGTGGACTGAATGATTCATTCTGGGGCTCAGTCTTCTCAGCCCATTCACCTGTTGGTTATGAGAGTTGGGAAGTAGAGTTTTTAAGATATATGTTGGTGCCCATCCCTTGTCCAGTGCAAGTTTCAAGTACCTTCTTGCCCTGGGGTTCTTCCCTCTCTTGTCAATGGAAAAAGTCAAACATGAGAGAGGTGCAGATAGCAGCCCCACGATCCCACGTGTCCTCCCGCCTGCTTCGGCAGCTGGGGGCCCGCCCCAGGTGTGCTCGGTCTGCACCCCTCCCCACGGGCAGGCTGGCGTCCAAGCAAGTCCCAGATGCACCTCCTCCATCTGTATGTATTTCAGTAGTCGTCCCTCGAAGGGACGGACTTTTTCCTTAAATGTGACATAACACCGCATCGTGCTTTAAAACCTCGCGGTTCCCTGACATCAGATACCCAGCCGGCACTGAGATCATCCCAGTCGTTTCTACACTCGGTTTGGTTTCATCAGGATTCAAACCGGGACCTCACATAGCATCAGATGGGCCCGTCCCTCACATCTCTGCCCTGTGGGCTCAGCTCCCTCCTTACTCCCCGGCAATGTGCTTGCGGAAGACACCAGCGCGCTCACAGACCCCGTCTGCGGCATGTGCAGGCGGGGCGTGGGCTCCAGCCTCAGAAGGGCCCGTGGGAGGCAGGCGTGACCACGGGGCCCACTGCTCCGCGAAGGCTTGGAGGACGGTGACGCTCCCGAGTGTTTGCAGAGGCAATAGGTAAGCAAACATTGTGAAGCTTCTGGGCCCTACACTTTCTACAAAAAGTAAACACCGAGGCACAGCTACAGATGGAAAAGGCTTTTCATTCGGCTTCCGGATACACAATCTTCCCACCAAGAATTAAAAGAGTAGGGGCGCCTGGGTGGCTCAGTTGGTTAAAGCAACTGCCTGCGGCTCAGGTCAGGATCCCGGAGTCCCGGGATCGAGTCCCGCATCGGGCTCCCTGCTCGGCGGGGAGTCTGCTTCTCCCTCTGACCCTCCCCCCCTCTCGTGTGCTCTCTCTCTCTCTCAAATAAATAAATAAAATCTTAAAAAAAAAAGAAAAGAGTAGTAGTATTAAACAGTTTAAATAAGTAAGACGAATTTTATTTTTAAAATGCCTTTCACATTCCTATTTAAGATAAACCCTCGGCAGATTGAAGTATTTTGCTCGTTCCCACGTGAAGGGGACGGCATAGTTTGTTTCTCGGAGGGCAGGGCAGGTTCCGGTCCGGAGTGCTGGGCAGAAGTGTGGCGCTCCAACCCAGGAGCGTGTCCGGGACTGTGCGCAGAAGCTAAAACGGGGACAACGCTCTCAGTCTCTCATACCGCTTCCACATCCCCTGATAACTGAGTGCATGAAAACGGAAGCTTGGATTTGCAACTAAATTGTGTTAGAACTGAAAGACTCAGTGTCTTTATATCTGATTCCCGTAAAACAGAATGATACTGATGGTGTGGACCCGGTTGCCCCGCGTCAAGCTTCTGGGTGTGGTTTTGGGGTGTCACATGTCCCTGATGCAGTCTCCCTATCAACAGGGGTCCGGTCCGTCTTCGAAGGCAGCCGGAATCCCTAACCGACAGTGGGGGCTTGAGGCTACTCACGGGCAGTGACACGCACGACAGTGTGTGGCCTGGTGGCAGGGATCTATCAGGCCCCCCACAAACATTCGCAGGGCCTGAGGCAACCACTCAAAGGGAGCTGCACGTGTATCTACATCCTCAGAAAGTATAAACCTAGTTCAAAAGCTGTTAAATACATTCTACCCCCACCTCCATACACACACAGCTTGACAGAGATACGTCCTTAAAGAGCGAAGAGGTCCAGACCAGCTGGACCGAAGTCTCCCAGAGGTCCCATCTCCTACTGGCTGGGACCATCCCTCACCCCTCCTGAGGCCTTCTAGAACCTTCTAGAGCCTTCTCAAGGACCTGCCTCAGCACCCAGAAGGGCTCCTCAAGGACCCTTACCAGGCTCTGTGCACATGTTTTCTGCATAAACCTCTGGCCGTACCTTGGGCACTGCTGACAGCAAGGGGGCTGGAGGTGTGGTCTGCGCTGCAGGTGAGCCCGGGCCTGGTGGGGCATGGCGGTCCTGTTTGTACAGAAGACAGAATAGTTACTGAGAGACAGAGCATCACCGCCATGGAAGCCAGGCACAGGAGGGACATCGAGGCACCAGGGCCTTTCTGGGAGCTGAATATCTCAACCTGCAAGACAACGGTGTTCTTAGAAAGATGTACACGGTATGGTGTCACCCCACTCTTGATGGGGACAGCCGACTGCGGGCCAGAGGCTCTCCCTTCCTGGTGTCCATCGGGCAAGTGCTGTCCCCCAAGGACGATGCAGCACCTGTCACGCTGAGGGTCAGCCACGTGCTCAGTCGTATCAGAAAAGACGTCCCCAAAGCCAGGGTGGGAGCGGAGCGTCGGGATAAGCGGGGGGCAGGACGCGGGCAGCCCGAAACACGGGGTCTGCTCACACGGAGCAGTGGCGCCGAGGAGTACTTGGGGCTGAATCATTACAGAAACACACAAAGATTTTTCAAAGAGAGGCCAGACCAGCGTCTAGAGTACATCGCGGAAATGAAGAAAAAATCATCTACAGGGTGACTGGCTGACTCTTTCACGAGCTCGGGGTGAGGAGCCACCGGGGAGGCCACTCACAGGGGATCTGAGGTCCTGGAGACCGCTCTGAGCTGGTCCCTGCGCCAGACTCCAGCTCACCAAGGCAGAAACCTGGTGCGAACATCACGCAGGGGAGGGCGGCCGCTCGCCAGCCCGGGGAGGCCCTGGAGCTCCTTAGAAAGACATGGCAGAACTTAGGGCCCACAAACCAGCGACAGTACAGTTTACTTTTAATCTGTTTTTCCTCTGTATCTCACCCTAAGCCGAGTTTTCGTCAACGCCCAGTTTGGTAGGAAGGAGGAGTTTCCCACAATAGTAAGAGTTCTGGTGGTTCCGGGGACCATTGGCAACCACGCAAATAAACGCATGTGCAGTAGGGAATTGTGTTAGAATCTCTTGTTCAGAAGTGTGTTGTAGGGTGACGTGTCTGTCTGCTCAAAGCCCAAGCTCTGTGGCCCCCCGAGGGCGCTCCGCCATCCACGCAACGCTGACGGCAAGTGGCATTAGCAGTCGGGCTAGCTCACCGCGTCTGAACAGCCCGGCAGGCCTGGTTTAAAGGAGGAACGAGCCCCACGGCATATTTCTGCCCCGTGAGACATGTTCCCAAGGGAGACGTGGTGAGCACTCGATTACGTTCCAAGCACCTGCGGAACGTGGCTTCGTGGGCCGTTGGCACACGGGTGGGCGTACCTGGAGGTGTGAGCCTGTCCCGCCCCCCACCCCTGGCCTGTCTGGTTGCAGACAGGGCCACCCCAACGGCCTCTGAAAGGTTTGGAATCCAGATTTAAGGAGTTAGGAAATGAAGGCATCACTGATTCTGACAGGACGCCTGAGGCCGGGGATGACACGCGGCGCGGGCCCCAGGCGGTGCTGAGGACCCTTGCGAGCTCCACCCTTGCGAGCACATGCGTATGACACCCTGCATCAGCTCCGCTAAAGCCCGCGGCCAGGAGTGTTCCTACACCCGGCACACCCCAGGAGGCTGCCGCACAAATACTTTGTGCAAGCGTGCACAGCCGGCAAGCGGCAGGGCGAGGATCCGAATTCAGGGCTGCTGGGATACTGGCCCCTCCTGTGAATCAGTGACGTCTGGGCCCCAGACCACACTTCGACTCACAGCCTGCAGCGGCTCTGGAGCAGGACGAGCCCCACCAGCACAACTCACTGGGGCGTCTGGACCGGGGCTCGTCTGCTCAGCACAGCCGACGTGC